TGGCCTACCCCTTCGGTCTATTTCAACCGGATATCGGGTCTATTTCACCCTTACTACTACCACATAATATCATAACAGTATTCATCGAATCTCCATGGAAATACAAACATGACTGACAATTATCACAAAGACAATCATCATACTATAACATAACTAGTGGGTCGGCCTTGGTGCCTTCGACCTACGGCTACTACAAAGGGAGACTCACCTCAAACTGTGGGTGTCACATCGTACTTAGCGGATGACTCGCGAACTCCTCTCCTCTCCTTATCACACAAGCATAAAATCCTAATTAGCAATTAGGTCACATTCTAACCCGAAGGACCAAAACCCTAATCCCTGACTTAAGGCAAAAGGTTCCTTTACCTTTGCCTTATTGGGCCTCCTTCCAAGGCCCAAATCCATAACAACCCAAAAGTATCCAAGTCCGACAAAAGGCTACTAAGGCCCAAAATACCTTATTATAACAGGTGGGATTGAGGCCCAACCTAGACAAGTCCAAGGCCCAACAAAACCGAGAGCCTAAAAAATACATTTTGCCCACTGACTGCGTACGCGTGGCATACTCTGCATCTACGCCCAACGTATGCTTGTGTTGACCCGGATTCGGGGTGTTGACCCCAATACGCGCAACGTACATGGGAGTACGCCCAATGTACTGGTCTGCCAACCCAAAACAACCTCCATGACTTATTCCATTAAGACCTAACGCCCAAAAATTAAATCCAAGCCCCTAGAAACGTCCTAAGTCATAAAGTTGCAAACTTTATGTTTTTGCATGCATGGATGGGGCTGAAAACATGAATCAAGTCCATAAGCACACTTGGTTGGTTCCCAAAACTTTCATGGTTGAGGCTTAACCATCAAAATCCAATTTTTATGACTCAAAACACCTCCAAGAGCTTAAAAGGACAACTCAAATGGATTGAAGTTCCTTAACTCCAAGAATCCAAACTATGGGACCAAAAGATGACATTTTCCACCCTAAAACTAGATCTAAGCATACAATGGTCAAGGTTCAAACTTTATAAATTCAAAGAGTTAGAAATGATGCCAAACTTCTGGATCTACAAGCTCCTTCTTTGCCCTTGCTTCTTCCCAAACTTCCTTCTTCTTCAAAACCAACAAAGATCACCAAAATCACCAAGGTAAGTTCAAAAATGCAACTAAGAGGGTTATGGTTCGAGTTTGACACTAAAATGACAAAGGAAGCTGACAGGGTGAAGATCATGAGGGACTTAAGGTCATTAAATACGGTGCAAACCCTAAAGATTAGGGTTTCCCCTACCATGAATACGCCATGCGTAACCCCACGCACACCCAGCGTACGTGGGCGATGCCCGCGACCAAGCTTCAACTAGTACGCTAAGTGTACTTCTAGAGTACGCCTCGCGTACTAACCAGGGGACCAATATTGCAAAGATTTGTTTAAAGAGGGTTAAAAGGAAACTTACAAGGTCCGGATGTTACACCAGGATTTGGCTATCGGCATTGCACGGAAAGACCATGGGGGTACCCATGACACTTGTATGTTTGGTATGTGGTATCTTGGGGAATTCACTAAGCTCTGTGCTTACGGTTTATGTTTAAAGAGATAATTACTAATCTAGCCTAATTTAAGTAATTACTTAACCATTTTAGCTAAAAATTAGCAATTGTCCAAAAATAGCCCACGAAACCGTAGGTAATTAGAGTGGATTACTGTTTTGCCAAATGGTCTACTGTTTCGGGTTAAGTATAAAAAAAATTCATTCTGAACATTTAAAAGCGTATGTTATTTTAAAACCGACGGTTTTCTCTCGACAAACTACGGTTTCCCAAACCGTAGCCTACGGTTCTGGGTTAAAGTCTACGGTTTTATTATTATTTTTTTTTATATAAATGAAGAGTAGTTTTTTTAGAATTATTTTGATAAAAAAATATTGTTTGTAAAATGTAGAGTAGTTTTTTTATTGGTTATAATCTTTTTTTTAAGAAAAAAAAAAACCCGTAAGTTTAAGGGAACCTACCGTGTACAACCTTTTAATTCACAAATTGTGCATTAATTAATTGTACACCGTAGGTTTCCAAAAAACCTATGGTTTCGTTAAATTTTTTTTTTAAGTTTTTTGAAAAAAAATCATGGAATCATAACATAGATATAATTGGTTACAGGTTACAACATTTAAAAAAAACGAAAAAAAAAATCTGTAGGGTTCATACGAAACCTACGACATACAAGTACTCACTGTACAACCTGTGCATTGTGGACTTGTACACCGTAGGTTTCGTATGAAACCTACGGTTTTAATATTTTTTTTGTTTTTTTAAAAAAAAGTTATCCCCATGTACAAAAACTACTCCTAATCAAGTATACGAAATTTTTTTGATAAAAAATAGACGTATCTCGTTGTTCTTCGGGTGCTCCATTTAGAGAAAATAGTAGGCAAACCAATGAAAAAAATACCAAAAAGTAACATAATCTGAAAAATTATATATTATATATTATGAACCAATGAGCTACGAAAGAGTAGACGGTCCGAGAAACAGTAGTTCATTGCCCCCAAAAAAATAGATTACCCCCCTTTGACCGTAGTCAACTCTAGCCATTTACTATTTCAGGGGCTATTTTTGGCTAAAGTTTTTTGTGTGTGTTTTTTTTTTTTTTTTTGGTTATTTTTGGATAGGTGGTAATTAGGGAAAATGGCTAGATTAGTAAGTCTCTCATGTTTAAAATTATTTAAGGTTTTCTTATATTGAAGGAAGGGCGCGACTTGATTGTATCGCATCCATTGGAGATTTCCGCACTTATTAACTCTTATGTCGATACTCAGATAAATGTTTTGAATTAAATGATTTTATTTAGATCTTTGAAGTTGTAATTGGAACAAATGTTTTTTTTTAAAATGAAAATTTTGGTTTGAAATTTGGGTCTTTACAATAAAGCATGTTTAATATTCACCCTTAAGGAACTTGTGTTTCGTCTATTTACACAGGAGGGTATAGTAGTCAAATGATAGAAGTTATATATCCTTAACATTTAAGAAGCTTTTAACGAATAAAGCATGTTTTTTAACGGCATAAACGTCGAATAAAACATGTTTATTACTCCTTGATTTTTAAATCCTCGAAAAATATTCTTAACATTTAAGAAGCGGAGATGTAGATCAATTTGGGGAGGTGATATCGATGGGGTAAAAAATTATTGGTTGTAATGGAAAAGCCTTGAGGTCTTCCTTCAAGTGGATGTGAAGTTTTTTTTTTTTTTTTTAGGGAACAAGACACTATGGATTACATGGTTAATCGACCAGAGGTTTTGTGTTTCAATCAAGATTCATACCTTGATGTAAAGAATTTTGTTAGATTAGCTTGTCACTAGGATTAACTTGGATAAAAAAGGAGTTTATGTTATTATATTTTTGTACATGGTGTATGATTCGCATGTCGAGAGAAATTAATGATGCTTATTTAACTATGTTATATATCATATCCAATAGACACATATAAAAATTGACAAATAATATTGAAAATTATATGTCGATTAGTTGCAAATAGTAAATTCATTTATTATTAATAGTTACCAAGTTTGTATACAAAACCATTAGCTAGGGTCTAGCATGTGTGGACTTGACCCATCTTTTGATCCACTTAAAGCTTTTGAATGTCTATCAAAAGAAAAACATTATAAACCCACCAAATGTTTTTTCACCACCAATGCGGTATAATGGGAAACTAGCCAATTGCATATCCTACTATAATTTCCATCAAAGTCATGTTCCATGGCTTCTCCAATTTGGTATTAAATAGCTAGATGGTGGAAGATTGATAATCCTATGTAAGATATGACTTGAGATAGAATAAATAAGGTTGATTCTTCAAGACATAATAAGAACCGACGATCATGCTTTGATTAAGTGGTTCTTACATTGATTTAGGTGTTATGAGGAACTTTGGCAACGAGATGTTGCTAGAAGCGTAAAAACCGAAGAAGACAAGATACTTGATAAGATTGTTTCACAGTAATACTTTTGAATTATTCATAGAAAACCTAAGTTAAAACTTAACCTAGATGGATGATTACCAAACGCCATCCTTGCTATTTCTTCTTTGTAAATATCATTCTTTATCTTACACATTATTTAATAAAAAAATGTAACCACTTTTTTGTTTTAACTCAGAAACTAGGGTTATAGAGCTTGGCCATGGTTTAAACTTTAAATGATAATAGGGAAAAATAATCTAACCACCATCAAAATGGCATAAAGTAATCACTTTGTACGAAGTACTTTAAAATGGAGTTGAACCGAGTTTGAATCTCACATGCTTTAATCTTGTGGTGGCCCGTCGTTTGGAAAAAAGAAATAAGAGAAAATAACCAATCTTAATTAAGGTGAAGCTTATTCTTGAATCGTGGATTTGTATAATTTAATACATTTGTTTTAACTCAGAAAGAGAAGCGTTTTAGAGTTTAAGCATGTCTACTGTCTGGATAAATTTAACCATATTCCGTAATCCCCTTTACATTTACAACATAGGTATAATATGTTGCAACCATTAAATTACGTATTTTCCTGTGTTGCCAAATGTCAAGATATACTGGCCCGGCCCGGCCCGGCCCAAAAGGTATGTAAACTCAGCCCGGTGCAATAGTGTACACTAGGCACTCGCATAAGGCCCCAAAAGATAATGGCCCATATTAATAATATATATAGTTGTAAATTGTAATATACCCAAGAAGATGTTAGCGATTAAAAACGCTTTAGCTGTAACTTGTAAGAGTTCAATGGTTCGGATATTAGGGCATCTAGTGTAGTGGAATGGCTATCGCTTTCTTTGTGTGAAAGCTCTTGAGTTTAATACTTATACAAACACACATTTCATATAATTATGTATTCGTGTATGTTTATATCTTAAAACAGACATCATCAAAAGACAAGTAAAATGTAAGACATTGAGCAGAAAACCAAAAAAGGAACAAATTCAAAGTTTTATTTCCATAGAATAAACTTTATCATCTATAAATTAAAGAATATAACATTATCCAGACAGCCTCTAATAACATCTCACCAAAACAAACAAATTCCAAAATGAAAAAAAAAACAAAGCAAAACTTGTTAGGATCCACATAACAAAACACTGAGGATCCAGATTATCATCAAGAGATGAAAAAATAAACCCTACAAAAATAACACAAAAAAAAAAAAATCAATGAGAAAAACACCAAAGAAAACAAGTATACCATATCCCATCAGGACCTCCGATGGCAACAAAAAAGCATCCATCTTGATGGGTTTTAAGTTATTACCATTTTTACCTCTTTACTATTTCCATTCTCACTTATTTCACTTTATAAATCTCTTTACAATCTTCACTCGGCTTGTGGGATTCGGTTTCTTCACATGATTCCGCTCTGTTTCCATCTCAAATTGGATCAAAGACTTGAGCCGATTCAGGTGTCCGATGCATAGCTTATGCTCAGAACCAAAACCGGAACCGGAAAACAATACCGATTCCGATTCCGATTCCGGTTCTGGGTTTACATGCCGTTGATAAGGGGAGTGCCATTTGGATTGCAGATAGGCTAAGGATCTCCAAGGTGGAAGCGGCATTGAGTTCTGTTTTAGGGATGATTTTGCAGCCTCAACCATAACTTGAAGAAACTGTTTTAGTTTTGTTAATGTTCCCACATAAACAACAGGAAGCGATTTCAGAATCCGGTTGTAAGAAGGAACAGCTCTAGCTATCTCAAAGTGACTTCGAAAATCAATGTCAATGATTAACCGGTCAACATTTCCCGAATCATTGTAATTTATAATATCAACGTATTCATGATCCCCTACAAAAATAAAATAAAATAAACATTACAGTTTTCAACCTTAAATATATATTTTTTTAGTTATAGAATGGTTTAAAGATTTACCTCCGGGAACTTTTCCGGTGCCCTGCCACCTGGATGTACAGACGGCAGCATCGTAACCTGAGAGCCTTAGAAGTTTGACGAGAGAGAACCTTATGCAACTAGCGTTACATGAACATGAACCTGATCTGATAAAATGAAGGTCCATTGTATTGATTGATAGGATGAGAGAATTAACTACTGACAGCATGTCAATCCCGTGTTTATCCAGCAAAACTTTGTAGTACTACACCAACACAAATTAATTTCAGTCATGTAAATTACATGGGTGCATTTAATGGAGAGGAATTCATGGACGCTCTAATTAATCATAAAGTAATTGGCATTTACGGGTGAAGCATCGGTAATAATAAGTTATATTCAAGGGAAGAAATTGGTATTGTTTATGACAAACAGAAAATATATATGAAAAACTACAGCTTTTTTTTAATCAATTCTAACAGTTAAAGCACAGTTTTGTCAATGGATTACAATATTAAGAATTGATGAGAGAGAGGGGGGTACCGAAATCTTGTCGGCGAGGTGAGCGAGTTCGCAGAAACCGGAATCGCTGTCGCTACTACACCGTGAATCGGCGCCACAACTACTCCCGTTTTCCAAGAAATCACTAACCATCGCTGCCAAATCATGCTCGCTTTCGTGGCTAAACGCCCCACCCAACATCTGCCCGCCTACACCGCCACCACCACCACCACCGGAGCCACTGCTACCCATCATCAACCACGGGTCCCCTGTTGCCGCGTAGACTCCGCAATCCATGCTCCACCACCCCCACCGCAATCAACTTGCCGCAAAAATCAAAATCAAAAACTAAAAAAAAAAAAAAAAAAGAAAAAAAAAAAATGAAAAAAAAGAAACTGTTTTCCAAGTAACACGAATACCCAATTATAATTGATCGTTTATCAAACGTACAATAAAATTTATATACTCTATGAAAACGTCAGAATCAACACCCAAAAAACCCTGAATTGCGAATTTCGTAATGGATTGAAAATTAAAAAACACAAAACCAACGCTCAAAATCCGCTGAAAACAAAGAAAAGGATATCCGATTCGAATTATATTCTTTGACTCTTAAAAATATTCAATCTTCCCCTATTCATCTTCTTCTTTTTAAGTTTATTCTGTTTTGTACTCGATTATGTATCATTCAAAAAACTAATCAATCAAAATATATAAAGAAAAAAAAACTACGTGTGATTCAATATCTGAAAGGAATTAGAAAAGATTTATAACGATCCAAAGGGGGTGAGAGGAAGGTAATTGAGAGAATTCGGCAAGAGGCACAATCAACCCGCAGAGGATGAAGACGCAAGAAAGGGGGAAATTGATATAAAGAGGATTTGGATTGAGTGGGAAATTACCAAAAAGGGCTCTGTCGGAGGATTTTCCGTGAATTGGACCTAGTAAAGTGGATGATATGGGTGAATTACGTATGTAGACAGAAAAGAAAAGCATATTCGCTTCTGGGGTACTTTCGTCAATTAAACTCCCCCCAACTATTTTTCATTTATTCAGATTTTATCCACCTTCAAATATAAAAATAATAATTATAATGCGATATTACCACAAGGAACGTTTTCTTAATAATAAGACAAAATTGCAAAAATGGTCACAATGTTATGTAAATTTTTGAAGTTTTAGTCCAAACCCTGAGTTTTTTGGATTCATAGTCCTTTTGAAGTGGTTTGTATGTGGAATTGGTCCTCGGACTTAACTTCCATTAACTTGTTGCTGTTAACCCCCTCATGTGCCTCTCACATGAGGGTATATTTGTCTTTTTACTTATAAGGGACCATTTTTACACTGAAAAAAATATATCCCTCTTTTTTTTAAAAAAAAAAATACTTATTTATCTCTCTCTCTCTCTCTCTCTCTCTCTCTCTCTCTCTCTCTCTCTCATGGAAGTCGTCGGAGGGTGAAATCGTGGTAGAGATGGCTTCTATCGTAAAATCCCCCTTTGTGGGTTTACTCTTCATCACCGGTGGCAACTGTGGTGGTCGCTGTCATCTGCGGTGGCGAGGGAGGCTGCACTCCTCTTGTCCGGCAGAAAACGCGAAAGGGAAAAGGGCCAAGGCGGAGGATTAGCGACTTAAGAGAGGGTGTTTGGCTTTAAAGTCAACCGGTAAGGTGGAGGGTGGGATTGAAACTGATCTCCGACGATCCGGCCTTCAATTGGGGTGTAGAGATTGAGAAGGATAGTAATAGTCTCATGGTTGCTCCGGAGGCCTCTAGATTGTTCTTTCTTTTCTGATCCAATAATTATGCGAGGAAGGAGGTGTTCGGGGTTGTGTTTTCTCGACAATCCCACCTCTTTTCTGTTGTCAAGCTGATTTCATCTCCGCCTCTAGTAATAATCAATTTAAACTTATGATTTCTGGTTTATATATGTGGTTAATAATCGGTTTAGGCTTCTGATTTCTAGTTGTGGTTAGATAGCTTTTGATTTCATCTCTGCTTTTTCTTTATCGGTTAGCCATGGTTTCTTGCATGATGTTGATGTGGGAAGATGGGTTTTGCAGAGGTTATAGGAGATTTGTGATGGAGTTAGTGTCTCCTCCGGCTCCAAAGAATGCTCTGGTGAGTAGAGATTGAAGGTGGGTTTCAAGTTCAAGACATTGTGGTGGATTTGGGGCAGGAGGATTGTCGTGGATTTGTGTATTTGTATTAACACAGTAAACACACTCAAATGAGAGAGAGAGAGAGAGAGAGATAAGTATTAATTTTTTTTAAAAAAAATAGGGATATATTTTTTTCAGTGCAAAAATGGTCCCTTAGAAGTGAAAAGACAAATATACCCTCATGTGAGAGGCACATGAGGGGCTTAACAGCAACAAGTTAACGGAAGTTAAGTCTGAGGACCAATTCCACATAGAAACCACTTCAAAAGGACTATGAATCCAAAAAACTCGGGGTTTGGACTAAAACCCCAAAAATTTGCATACCACAGTGACCATTTTTGCAATTTTGTCTAATAATAATGACCAACATTTTTTCATTTTTTTAAAATGTTATTTTGTCCTCAGTTCCAGAATATTCATGTTTGGGACCGTAAAGAGATGTTAAATAAAGTTTTTCTTAGAATATGACAGGATAGAAAGAGGTATACTATGGTCCAATCTAATTTGGTATATTATGGTCCAATCTAATTTATTAGTAATAATAATAATATAAATTAAAAAAGAATTAAAAACAACAAAAAGTAGGACAAAAAAAACAACAACAAAAGACAAAAGACAAAAAATCAAATCAAGAGGGTGAAATTGGAAAAGGAGATGAGTACTTATAGAAAACCCCTAAAAAACAACACTTTAAATCTTCAACAACCAAAGTTAAAACATATAAAATCATTAAGAGAACTGACTATCTTTGCAATTTTCTATAATATTAAATGGATAATAATATTAGATGGTAATTGAATATTTATTGGATCAATATTGATATCCAATTTGATGAGCGTTGGATCGATTAGGTTCGGTTATCCATTGGATTTTCAGGATGATCCAATAACCGATTCAGTTCAATTAGATTTTGAAATTCCGAAACTAATCTAATCCAATTGTAATTAGATACTCAATCAAATTGGTCGGTTCGTAATTGGATCCGTCACTTAGAACAAGACCAGTTAAGTTCTGCATGCACCTGATGCCCATCGTTCATTTTAGACAGAAAATTGTACGTTCCTTACACATATTCTTGAAAAGTATTCACAGTTTGTTTCCTACATATGCCTTGCTTAAGGGTTCTACTATTATGAATAAAGTTTATCCATCAGGAATTAAGTTTCTCAACAACTAACAATGAGTTCATCAAATCGAATTCATGAACAAAGTTTTGCCAACCTCTATCTTCATAATCTTCAAAGAACAAATACATCACCTGTTACCCAAGTCAAGAAAGATGTGAATGACCTTTTGAGTTTTGCTTTGTCTCCATGGGATGCATGGTAAGCTATACCTGCAATACAGTAAATTTGGTTGTATGAAGTCACTCAAACATATGTAAAAATAATGGAACATTAACGACTAAACAAACAACAAGCAATACAACCTTACTATACACAATGAACACCAGACTATTCTTCATATCCCAATCGGTTCTTCGCATTCTAGAATATGATTTCTATTACGGACAGGTTCTTGTGTATTACGTAAGGTTGTTTAAGCTACCTACAAGTTATCGAAAGGCTTTGTAAAGAATCAAAAAACAAATGGACCAAAAAACAGAATCAAGACTTGAAATATAAAAGCTTCCAGGATTGTTCGTTGCATTTCAGACTCTTTCATCATGTCTAGGATATAGATTTAGATATTTGAGTTTAATTCATATATAGATAAACATGAATCTAACGTTGTTCGCCGAATCCATGTCTCTTTTGGAAAAATTTATTAGGGTTTTTCAGAACAATCTAAAAACGACGTTTTGATTGGATGTGGGTCTCATTTATATTGGATGAGACCACATAGATGGGTACCGATTCAATTTTCCTCAGGTTCAAATGCAATTTCCACATTAACTGGTTATCAAGTAACTAAATGCAATTTCCACATTAGCCGGTTATCAAATAACCAAAATAGTTAGTCTATTTTTTTAAAGTATATATATAATTTGTCAGTTTTGTTAATATCCTAATTATAATTATTACATAATTTGATAGGCAATAATTTATTATAGCTATTTTACTAATTACTTAAAAATGATCTTAACAAAAGCAATGTTTTTTCAATTGGTTTATTTATGGGAACTACAATAAGTTATATTTATATATAATTAAAAACATATGAAACTCGTCAAATCAATAAATAAGTTCAAGACAATATTTTGTTAATTAACAAGCTTTTTAGAAAAATGGTTTGAAAACTCCTCAAATAGTTTTTTTCACTTTTCAAGATCTTTTTTAATTAAAAAAACTCTTGAAAATGTTCCCACAAAGCTTCTATTATGAATGCTCTAATAAAAAGATATTTATAAATAGATAAAAAACATAACTACATGATTGGTCTATGTAGTTTACAAAAAATGACACGATGATAAAAACTACTAACAACTATTATGTATATATATGGTCCATATGGTTTCAGTTTCTTGGGTGTTTGGTCAATGACATATGTAAAATGTCTTTTACTCTTTTTAATTTCTTTTAGACATTATTTTATACCTTTTAAACTATTTTAAATTAAGAAAAAAAAATAAGGTTGACATCACCTACCCCTATCCTCACTTACCATAAACTTATTTTCCCTCGTTAGTTTTGGTCACCCCAATCTCTCTCTCTCTCTCTCTCTCTCTCTCTCCTAGAGAAGAACACAACTTTATTATCAGTTATCTTCTGAGTGACCATCGGTTTTCATCGCCGAAAAATACCACCACTGAAACATCCAAAAACTGTAGTCCAAAAATTTCGTTTTAATTTAGTAAAAAAAAACATCAATATCATCCATCACATAAAAGTCATAATCTTGTATCTTAAAAAATATCATCATATCTGTCAATGTATCAAAATCATATCTCATAAATCAGAGTAAATCCTCTCAGGCTAAAAAAAACAATGGTGTGTGTCATGCAGTCATCCCGAGCTCTTCCCCTTGCTAGCGGAAGTACCTGAAACCAAAACTGAAAACTATAAGCACAAAGCTTAGTGAGTCAAGCTCGGCATCGGCTTTCCCGGCATCGAGCCCCGCCCGACATCAAACCCTATTCGGCATCGGGCCCCGCTCGACATCGAGCCTCGCCCGACATCGAGCACATCTCGGAATACATATGAGCATAATCAGTAATACACATAAACCTAAGCACATAACATTAACAGTTAAACATTCCTCGGGCCCCGCCCGACATTGGACCGTAATCCGGTAGCATACTAACATTCATCGGGACCGCCCTGGCATCGGACCGAAGTCTGGAAACATAAAATACAAACACATGCAAGAATCACAAAGACATCAAGCATACAAGCATTCTTCGGGACCGCCCCGGCGTCAGATCGAAATCTGGAAAAACATATAAACCCACATCGGGCCCCGCCCAACATCGGACCATAGTATGGAACTACTACTAGCTAAACGGGACGGCCTTGGTGCCTTAGACCCCTTCCTACTAGAGGAAACTCACCACGAATGCTCGCTGTGAAATCTCGTGTGAGGAATCTCTGACGGAACGACTCCCCGGCTATCAATTTCACAATAACACTGTAACTCCCCGACTCTCAGGTATTAATTTTATGGCTTTAATTTTCATAAATTCGAAGGTCTACTCGACGAGTTGGATGCCCTGGCTCGTCGAGTAGGAGCGGGTTTGGCCACGTGTTAAGTGACCGACTCGTCGAGTCCAAGATAGGACTCGACGAGTAGGAGTTGGGGGATGAAACCCTAATTTCCGGGGTTTTGCA